GAGTTCCTTCCCCTCTCCAAACCCTACCCTCAGCAAGTTCTGTCCCCAAATCTCCAGGAATTTCCCAACCCAGAGCTGGCAACCCAAGATTGGCCCTTGTGCTGCTACAAACCACTGCAAAATAACACCCTGGGGCCAACAAGGGCTCAGCTATTGCCTCCTGCTACAAACTAACAAAGGGGCTGTGGTGGCTCAGAAGTTAAGATGCTGAGGTGCACACCAGAAGGTCTGTAGCTCGGCAGTTCGAGACCCTAGTGCTGCGTGGCGGAGTGAGCTCCCACCTTTGGCCCCAGCTCCTGCCAACCTAGCAGTTCGAAAGCAAGAAATTGCAAGTAGATAAATAGGTACCACTTTGGTGGGAAAGTAGCAGTGTTCTGTGCGCCTTGGCCACATGATCATGGAGAATTCTTTGGACAGTGCTGGCTCTTCAGCTTGGAAACGGAGATGAGCACCGCCCCCTAAAGTCGGATTTGACTGGCTTTTGAGCAAGGGAAACCTTTACCTTTACCAACTAACAAAGCAAAAAGAGGGGATTCGTGGTATGGAGAAAATTAACAAAAGACCAGAAACCCATGACTATAATCAGGGGTCATTTCGTAGAAAAAGAGCTAGGGGGACTCATTAGCATAACTCATTAGCATATGCCACACCCCCTGACATCACCGGAAGTGTGTCCTCCCCACAGCCGGCGGCGACTTCCAGCGGGCACCAGCAGGGAGCTCCAGGCCCCGCCCTCCCGCACCTCACCCGGGGGATGGCGTCCCCCCCCAAATGACCCCTGACTATAATAACAAAAAAATTATAAAAATAGTTTGTGAACCCTTAACAAATGTTATGAATGAAGAATACCGTTTCCACAGTGTCTTCTTCAGTGCTCTTTGAAAATTTGGGAGCTGCTTTATCAGACCAGGCTAAGAAGTAGGAAGACTGAATGTATTATGGATTAATTATGTTTGGTTGCGGTACCTGTTCCTGAAGAAGACACTGTGAAAATGGGATTTTTACTGGTGCTCGGTTAACAGGATCATTTTGACTCCATCAACATTGGACTTTATTGCTTCAAAGGAAGGACTGCTTCAGATAGGAATTTTGTTGGGACTTTGAGGTTACTTCAAAAATTGGACTGGCAGCAGAGACATTTAGTATAATATTCTTCATTCGTAACATTTGTTAAGGGTTCACAAACTATTTGTATAAATTTTTCGTCATTATATTCACGGGTTTCTGGTCTTTTGTTAATTTCCTGCTACTCACTGCCAGCAATGCAGAAGGCTATTGATGAGCTGATCAGCCCACTGGGAAATTTCCCTGTAAGTCTAAGGTGCTACACTAGCCTTGAATCTACCTGTAAGTCAAATAAGTTAGTTCCTTTGACCTCCTGTGCTATCCATTAGGGTATCCCCGTAATGATATCCCCCCACCAACAGGGCCGACTTACCCATTAGGCATAGTAGGCACAGTGCCTAGGGCCCACAATACTTCTAGGAAGGACGTACTAAAACTAAGGACAAGCGATTGCCCATTGGGAATACATGAGTGGACAGCGATTGCCCATAGGCAATACATGAATGCCAATAGAGAATGCATGATTGCCCATAGGGAATAATGAAGAGTAGGCTTGCCCATAGGGGATAATGGAGTACATAACTGCCAATAGAGAATCCATAATTGCCAATAGAGAATCCATGATTGCCCATAGGGAATAATGGAGAGTAGGCTTGCCCAGAGTGGATAATGGAGTACATAATTGCCAATAGAGAATCCATGATTGCTCATAGGGACATAATTGCCAACAGAGAATCCATGATTGCCCATAGGGAGTAATGGAGAGTAGGCTTGCCCAGAGGGGACAGTGAAGTACGTAATTGTCAATAGAGAATCCATGATTGCCCATAGGGAATAATGGAGAGCAGAGCACACCTGACCATAGGGTATAATGGAGTCCACGCTTCGCACAATGAATAAGGTAGACCCAGGGCCGGCATGAGGTGTTCCTGCATCCTAGGCAAGCACAGATGCCAAACTCCTGGTGGGACCTGGAGACCTGCCTGGGTGCACGGCGAGAGATCCGCATGCGCACGCACCCCTCTTCCCGCTTGCCTGAGACTTGGAGAGGTCCCTCCCTGCCCCCAGCCAGCACCCCTGCATGAGCCAGCTTGGCGGAGGAGGAGAGGTCCCCATGCCGGCGCTCCCCAGTCCCGGCTCACTCCCCACCCTTGGCGAGGCTCGGGCGGCTGCTGCCCCTAACAAAGGGCTGTGCAGCTCAGGGGGAAGGGAAGGCCGTGCAGCTCAGCCCCGGCCGGGCAGGGAGGCAGTGGTGGCGTCTGCGGCGGTCTCCTGGACCTCCGGGCAGTGAGGCGAAGCGCCGGCCCGCGGAGAGGGCTGCGGGGTGCTGAGGGAGGAGGGCTCCGAAGGGCGGCTGCTCCTCTGCAGCGGGCAGCAGCGGCAGGGCACTCGGAGCCGAGCTTTTGGCAAAGCGGGGGGAGACTGCGGAGCACCTCCCTCCTTCCCGGGTGCCTGGTCGCTCACACTGGGGTAGCGGAGGCGGCTCCGGCAGGCGGGCGGCGGCAGCAGGGCCCTCGGGCGGCTCAGTTCGGCGCCCTCATGATGGCCCAGTGCTCTAGGCGAGAGACTAGCTCACCTAGTGAGCGGGCCGGCCCTGGATAGACCACATGTGGACACAGGGAATAAGGGACACCACACTTGTCCAGAGGGAATAAGGGACACCACACATTCCGATATGGAATAAAGGAGACCACGCTTGCCCACAGAGGATATTGGGGTCAACGCTTGCCCAAAGGGAATAATACAGACCAAATTTCCCCATAGGGAAAACGGAGCCAATGCTTGCCATAGGGATTAAGAGAGAACACGCTTGCCCATAGGAACTACTAGAGAGCATCCTTGCCCATAGGGAATAATAGAGACAATGCTAACCCATAGGGAATAATGCTGCCCTCGCTTGCCCACAGAGGACAATGGAGTTCACGCTTGCCCATAGATAATAATGGAGACTACGCTTGCCCATAGGGAATAATGGAAACCACGTTTGCCCACAGGGAATAATGGAAACCACGCTTGCCCATAGAGAATAATGGAAAGCACGCTTGCCCATAGAGAATAATGAAAAGCACGCGTGCCCATAGGGAATAATGGAAACTACGCTTGCCCATAGGGAATAATGGAAAGCACGCTTGCCCATAGGGAATAATGGAAAGCTCGCTTGCCCATAGGGAATAATGATCACCACGCTTGCCATTAGGGAATAATGGACACCACGCTTGCCCATGGAGATTAATGGAAAGCACGCTTGCCCATAGGGAATAATGGAAAGCACGCTTGCCCATAGAGAATAATGGAAAGCGCGCTTGCCCATAGGGAATAATGGACACCATGCTTGCCATTAGGGAATAATGGACACCATGCTTGCCCATAGGGAATAATGGAAAGCACGCTTGCCCATAGAGAATAATGGAAAGCGCGCTTGCCCATAGGGAATAATGGACACCATGCTTGCCCATAGGGAATAATGGAAAACACGCTTGCCCATAGGGAATAATGGAGACCATGCTTGCCCATAGAGGAGAATGGAAAGCATGCTTTCCCATGGAGGATAATGGAAAGTAAGCTTGCCCATAGGGAATAATGGAAAGCACGCTTGCCCATAGGGAATAATGGAAAGCAACGCCACTCGGACATCACACGCGAGATGTCATTCTGGCTCCCCCAGGTCTCAATCGAGGCTCTTAAAAAAGTTATGGCTACCGCGGCTGGCTGTGGCTGGCAGCGGCAGCTGCAACGGCCGCAGAGGGGGGGGTCAAAACGTTCCCCCGCCTCCCTGAGCCCTGGGGTGATGGCCTTGGACACCGAGGGGCAAATTCCACCTCTTTGGTGTGATGTCCGAGCGGCGTTGCTGCTGGGACATCACATGTGAGAGGTCATTCCGGCACTCCCAGCTCTCGATAGGGGCTCTTTAAAAAGTTGGGTTGGCTTTGGCTGCTGGAAGGGGGGGGGCAAAACGTTCCCCTGTCACCCTGGGTGTTGGCCTTGGACTCCTAGGGGCAGATTCCACCTCTCGCGTGTGATGTCCGAGCAGGAGAGATCATTCCGGCTCTCCCAGCTCACATAGGGCCGCGGAGGGCCCCCCCGAAAGTTCTCCCTCCTCCCTGAGCCCCGGGGTGGTGGCCTTGGACTCCTAGGGGCAAATTCCACCTCTCGCGTGTGATGTCCGAGCAGGAGAGATCATTCCGGCTCTCCCAGCTCACACAGGGCCGCGGAGGCCCCCCCCCCGAAAGTTCTCCCTCCTCCCTGAGCCCCGGGGTGGTGGCCTTGGACTCCTAGGGGCAAATTCCACCTCTCGCGTGTGATGTCCGAGGGAGGCGGGGAACGTCCAAGGCGGCTTGAGGTTTTTTTGTCTCTTCGTGCATCACCGGATGAAGCGACGCACGAAGACGCTTTTCTGCCCTGGTAAGTCTCTCTTAGATACCACCAGACTCTTTTTTTGAAGCCGACGACTCTAAAGGGATTCTGAAGCCTCTATGACTGCGTGCCGGGCTGCAGGGCTACTCCAGCACAAGGGATTTGGGTAGCTCAGCAACCCCAAACAGGTTTACTCAGAGGTAAATCCCATCCAGTGGGGTCGTCTCGTGCGCATGTGTGGGGCGGAGGGGGAAGGAGGACACCGGGGGGGCCTGGAGTAGGGAGGGTGGGAAACGGCCTTAAACTGCGCGCCTCGCCCAGGCTTAACGGCGAGAGAAGGGACGCTGCCCTATTGAGCAGTCGCGGAGTCGCGCTCAGAGGCCATCGGTGTGGGCGACGCTGTCCCTTTAAGGGTCCACTGTTTATGTCATTTTCCTCGTGAGCCCCGCCCGGAAGGCGGCGGGGGGGCTGTGGGCGGGGGCGGAGAGAGAGAGGGGGGCGAGTGGGCGCAACTGGCGCCTGCGCGGAACGGCTTCGCTCCTTCGCCCGTCCAGTCTTTCTGCTCAGCCGTTCTTCTCCCTCGCCCCCCCCCTCACTCCGGGCCGAGGCGAGAGACCCGAGAGGGGCTCCGGCGAGGACGGGAAGGGAGCGGGGCGGCTGCGTCGCCGCGGACCTTGCAGAGGGAGGCCCGGCTCCCTTGGCCATGGGCTCCTGAGGGCCTCTCGCTCCGCCCCGTCCCTCGAGTGACGGAGCGGTCCGTGCCGGGCGAGGGGGAACGGGGGGAGCGGCGACCCTGCCAGCGTCGGTCCGGCTGGCCCTGGCGGTGCCGCGTGGCGGTAAGGAGGGAAGGGAGGGGATGCAAACAGCGCCTGTGCGCGCACAGTGTGGAGCCTTGCCCAAGGATGCCAGCTGAGGATGCTGGGTGGGGGCACCCGCAGGGGACGATGGAGGAACAGGCTGGCATTCGGGGGAGAGGGGTGATTGGCCACGAAGGGCAGCTCCTCCGCGCGCACTCAGTGCCATCTTTGCCCGGTTGGCAGTGCCGTAAAGGCCTTTGACGGAGTGGTGAGTGGTGCTCCATAATACCCTGGGGGAGTGTATGTTCAACAACTGGGTGAAAGCGATCAGTGGAGGCTGGAGGCATGTTTGTGTGCTGATGATCGGCATGGCCTCCCCCTGAAGGCAAACACGCCCCCCCCCCCGCGAAAATGTGCGTCTTGGCTGTACCACATGGCGTTGCTTACAGATGTGGTGCAAAATGGATCAGCCTGAATTCATTTATTTACTTCCTTATAAGTTTTTACAAACCATGTTTTGATTTGGATGTATTTATGGTGACTTGATAATCGTCAAGTATATGTGGATAATCCTGGGTGCTGAGCTGAGGTAGTGCGTTAAGAGGCCAAATAAGGATAATCTGGTGGGGTGCTGAATATGGGTGTTGTGGTGCAGAGTGGGTGATGGTAGCCTTGGATATGTGCACATAGTTGTGAGACGTGTCACATTTATGTGCCAGATGTGCCAAATGATGGTACCAAAAGGTGGGACCTTTATCCAAATATAGTAATAAGGGGCACTTGTGCTACAGCTTCCTGCCACAAGTGGAATTGAACCTAGCAAGAGACATGGTAAATGGAATAGTGTACAGCATTTACCATAAATTTGTGGATTATGGTAAATGTTGTCTTGAATGGCATAGTATAGGCCATTATGTTTTGGTTATGAATGTGCCTTTAGGTGCAATACTTGTGAGGTGATGCGAGGCTACTAGCTCTAAATGGAGTACTGTGCTGAATCACACTTGTTTGAATCATGCTTGTTTCAACTTTAGTGAAGCATTTGATGTTGGAATTAAAGCTTTTTGATATTGATCAAAGGTGGTATTGAGATTTCAAGTGGGTAGCAAGACGCTCTTGATGCTCTAAGCCTTTTGTTGAACTCTTTCTCCTCCCAGAGAAATACTAACAGTAGTAGACAGACTACTTATCAAGTTTCATGAATCCAAGTTAAATTATACCACGTTACCTGACTGTATTTCTTTCTCTTGTTTCTATTTGTCAGAATTGTCTAGAATTACTAGTTGGAGGCCATTTCAAATAGATGAGCAGTGTTCCCTCTAAGCTGAGTTAGTGTGAGCTAGCTCACAGTTTTTTAGCCTCTGGCTCACACATTTTTGTCTTAGCTCAGGAAGGATGACTCCAGAGTAACCTAATTTATGCAGTAGCCAAATTGCTTGCTCACAACTTTGATGCCAGTTGCTCACAAAGTAGAATTTTTGCTCACAGGACTCCACAGCTTAGAGGGAACATTGTAGATGAGAACTTGTTAAATGTAATTTGTCCATATATCACAAAACAAATGCTCTTAGAGACATATATGCATTATTTTTTTCTAGTTGACACTGTCATGTTGACTTCAAAGGTTACCCTGAGAGCCAGTGCACATCTGTTGTTTTGAACTGGAGCTATCAGTTGGGAATGGCATGCGTACATTTAAATGACTGTGTGTTCCTTCATAGTATACATGAAAGCAGCATTCAGGAATTGTTTCTGCATCTATTGCTGGGGAGGGGAAGAATTATTTAACTGCATGTGACCATCTTCAGTTGTTGGTGCCATATGTATATTTTACAGTTTATGTTGAGTACTCTTGGCACCCAAGTTCAAAATGTAGCATATCAATTGGCAGTGTGTATTATGTACAAAGTATGAAGTAAGCTTTATGGAGAGTATACGGAAGTGATAACTCTTTTAACTATGATTCTTATCATTCATTGTCATGGTATGTTTGAACTTCTGTTATTAAAAACAAATACAGAAAGGTTTTAATATTTCCTATGTGAAGTTCATGCAAAATCTTATTCTGTGTCGTACAATGAGAGAAAATGGGTGGAACAACTTTACTAAAGGAGTAAACAGAAGAAATGAAAAGTAATACTTGTACATTTCTTATTCTATAAATCCTGGGAGCAAAACTTAATTGGCAGTCATAGCAGCTTCTTAAAATTGCTGCCAACTGTGATCCTGGATGCTGTAGAAAAGGCCTAGAAAACAATGATGAGTGGTTTACAGACTTAAGTCAGAGCCATATTTTTCTTGCTTTGATTTAATTCATTCCAACCCCCCCCCCCAATTGGTTAAGTTCACTCTTCTGCTAGCATTCTTTAAATGCAATCCTATGCAGAGTTTGAAATAAATGTGCTTCAATCAGAGTAGCTCTGCACAGGACTTTGCTCTTAGAACTATAAGTGATGGAAGATCAGCCTTCTGCTAAGACAATCAATCTGTCAGAGCCCCAGGGGTGTCTTTAAAACGTGATCTGTAACCAATCACTGCAGTAAAGTGGGATAAATAACGCCTTTAGCTAAAATAGCTGTAAAAGATGATGGACATTGAAATAATATCTAGCAAACTATTTCCAGAGAGAGAGAGAAGGGTGATCTCTCGAGGCAGCGTGCTCTTGTAGCTACATGGTCACTTTTATCAAGAGATGTCAGTTTTAATGCATGATATTCCAGGATGCTAGTATGTGGTGTGGCTCAACTGGAATATTCTAAACCATATATATAAAAGTACAAATATTTATTAAGGTGTACACATGTTAAAACTTTCCTGATTAAAAATTACTTTGTCTAAAATCAGACTATAAAAGCTTATCCAGTATACATACATATGATAGGTAAATACTTTACAACTGAAGACCAAATGCGTTTTGGCCCCTAAGGGCCTTCCTCAGTTGTCACTATTATCTATATATTCTAGACACACATTCAAAGACCTGTTACAGAGTTTTAGTACACCTATAATTAAACCGGATGTTGTTTCCTTGTATCCTTATAATTGGACTCCTGGTGTTAGTGATGGGTCATAGGTATAGCCATATCACCGCCACAACTTATTTTGGTAACAGTGATTTTGTAGGTCTGAATGTGTGTCCCTCCATCAAGGTGATATAGCCTACCTCTTGGGTTTTTGTTTAATGTACTGAAAAGTACAGGATTACATCTCACCCCTGGACTGGCTTGAGGGGCTTAATACCTGTACAAGGTCTTTGAATGTGTGTCTAGAATATATTGCTACAATTGCTGCACGCAATTTGCCAGCAAATTTGGAAAACGCAACAGTGGCCACAGGATTGGAAAAGGTCAGTATACATTCCAATCCCAAAGAAGGGCAGTGCCAAGGAATGCTCAAACTATCGCACAATTGCACTCATATCACACGCTAGCAAGGTCATGCTCAAGATCCTACAAGCTAGGCTTCAACAGTACGTGGATAGAGAACTGCCAGAAGTACAAGCTGGGTTTAGAAGAGGTAGAGGAACGAGAGATCAAATTGCCAACATTCGCTGGATTATGGAGAAAGCAAGAGAGTACCAGAAAAACATCTACTTCTGCTTCATTGACTATGCTAAAGCTTTTGACTGTGTGGATCACAACAAACTATGGCAGGTCCTTAAAGAGATGGGAGTACCAGACCACCTCACATGTCTCTTGAGAAACCTGTATAAGGGCCAAGAAGCGACAGTTAGAACCGGATATGGAACAACTGATTGGTTCAGCATAGGAAAAGGAGTACGACAAGGATGTATTGTCGCCTTGCTTATTTAAGATATATATGCAGAGTACATCATGCGAAATGCTGGCCTGGATGAATCACAAGCGGGAATTAAGATTGCTGGGGAAAAGATCAACAACCTCAGATATGCAGACGATACCACTCTGATGGCAGAAAGTGAAGAGGACCTAAAGAGCCTCCTGCTCAGACTAAAAGAGGAGAGTGCAAAAGTGGGCTTGAAGCTCAACATCAAAAAAACTAAGATCATGGCATCCGGCCCCATCACTCCTTGGCAAATAGAAGGGGAAGTCGTGGAAGTAGTGACAGACTTCACGTTCCTGGGATCCCAGATCACCGCAGACTGTGACAGCAGTCATGAAATTAAAAGACGCCTGCTCCTTGGGAGGAAAGCGATGGTGAACCTAAACAGCATGATAAAAAGTAGAGACATCACCCTGCCAACAAAAGTCCGCATGGTCAAAGCAATGGTATTCCCAGTAGTCATGTATGGCTGCGAGAGTTGGACTATAAGGAAGGCCGAGCGCCGAAGAATAGATTCTTTTGAACTATGGTGCTGGAGGAGAGTCTTGAGAGTCCCTTGGACTGCAAGAAGAACAAATCAGTCAATCCTAAAAGAAATCAACCCTGACTGTTCCCTGGAAGGCCAGATAATGAAACTGAAGCTCAAATACTTTGGCCACCAAATGAGAAGGGAGCACTCACTGGAGAAGACCCTGATGCTGGGAAAGATTGAAGGTCAAAGAAGACGGGGACGGCAAAGGATGAGATGGTTAGACAGTGTCATCGATGCAACGAACATGAAGTTGAGCAAACTTCAGAGGACGGCGGAAGACTGGAAGCCCTGGCGGGAGCTGGTCCATGGGGTCGCAAAGAGTCGGACTCGACTGTGCGACTGAACAACAACAACTAGAATATATAGATAATAGTGACCACTGAGGAAGGCCCTTAGGGGCCGAAACACGTTTGGTCTTCAGTTGTAAAGTATTTACCCATCATATGTATGTATAGTGGATAAGCTTTTATAGTCTGATCTTAGACAAAGTAATTTTAATCAGGAAAGTTTTAACATGTGTACACCTTAATAAATATTTGTACTTTTATGTATATGGTTTAGCTTAGCCCTTTTTGGTTCGTAGTCATATCCTGGGTTGAGTTCCCCCCCTCCCCCCCAGTTTTTGTCAACTGGAATATTGTATATATTTGCATCCCCATTTTTGGTACTAGCCTAACAGGGTGTTCACTGAGGTTTAGTTTTGTTT